CATAGCAACTCCTTTGACAATTGCCTTTTTAGCTTGTCTATTTCTTGTTTACAAACCCCTGTAATCAACATGTAATCTACATATAGTAATAAGATGATATAGGAGTTACCAAGTTTCTTGAAATAATAGCAATGGTTTGCTTAGCATATGAGGAAACCGTTATTACACATAAACCCATCAAACTTCTTGTACCACTGTCTAGGCGCATGTTTTAGCCCATATAGGCTCTTTTGAAGTTTGCACACCATTCTCTTCTTTTCTTGTACTTTAAAACCTTGTGGCTGTTGCATATAAATTTCTTCATCCAGTTCTCCATGAAGAAACGCCGTCTTTACATCTACTGCTCAAGATGAATGTCTTCTTTTGCCACTAACCCAAGCACTATTTTTATTGTAGTCAACTTGACAATTGGAGAGAAAATTTCAGTGTAGTCAATGTCTTCTTTATGCTGAAATCCTTTCATGACCAGTCTTGCTTTATGTCGTTTGCTATCATCATGTTCATCTTTCACCCGATAAACCCACTTGTTTTGCAATGCCTTCTTCCCTTGTGGTAGCCCTGTTAACTGTCAGGTTTGATTTGTTAATAATGAGTCTATCTCATCCTTCATAGCTAGCTCCCACTTGATTGATTCATCAACTTGCATTGCTTCCTCATAACACTCTGGTTCACCACCATCAGTTAGTAAAATATAATGTAAAGAAGGGGAGTAGTGGTTGTTATAGTCTTGGAAGATCTTCTAGGTTTAAACACGGGCGTTTGTGGTTCAATGTCTTGAGCTATATTATCTTGATCTTCCTGGTCATTGTCTTGCATGCCATTCATTAGGAAGTCTTTTAAATGAACTACCTTTTGCTTCTTCACTTTAGTGCTTGGATTTTCTAACTTTATGTTGAGCCTATCCTTGTACATCACTTCTTCATTGAATATGACATCTTGGCTCCTTATAATCTTGCAGTTTTGGTCATCCCAGAAACGATAACCAAACTTGGCGTCACCATAACCAATGAAAAAACATTTATTAGATTTAGCATCAAGTTTACTTCTAAGAGTAAAGTCAATGTGAACATATGCTAAACAACCAAACACTCTTAAGAAAGAATAATTTACCTCTTTGCCGCTCCAAACTTCTTTTGGGATCTTGCAATTTAGCGGTACAGAGGGTCCTCTATTGAGCAAGTAGGCTACAGTAATAATTGCCTCAGCCCAAAATGTCTGTGGTAGTCCAACATGCAATCTCATGCTTCTTGCACACTTATTTAGGGTTCTGTTCATCCTTTTAGTGACACCATTTTGTTGAGGAGTTGCAGGAATGGTCTTTTCCATCTTGATCCCATTATCGGCACAATATTCTTTGAACCCTTGATCAATGTATTCTCCCCCATTATCGGATCGCAAGCACTTTACCCATATTTTTGTCTCATTTTCAACAATGACTCTCCACTTTTTAAAAGTATCAAAAACATCAGATTTATTTTTCAAAAAATAAACCCATACCTTTCTGCTAACATCATCAATGAACATCATGTAGTACTTTGAGCCTCCAAGGGATGACATAGGAGCGGGTCCCCACACGCCTGTATGAACCAATTCCAACTTCTTTGCCTTTGGTTTTCTTGCTACTTTGGAAAAACTTACCCTTCTCTGTTTGTCAAACATGCAACCTTCACACAAACTGTGATCAATCGACTTCAACTCTGATAGTTTTCCCTTTGATTGAAGCTCCTTCATTCCTTTCACACTTATATGCCCAAGTCTACAATGCCACAAACTCGAGGTAACATTAGCATCTGCGACTACAACTGAATCTCTGCAACTAAAAGTCACGTAAAGATTTCCAGTTTTATTTCCACGAGCAACCACCATGGCTCCTTTAGTACTTTCCATGCACCACCCAAAAAAGACACACTATGCCCTTCATTGTCAAGTTGTCCAACTGATATTAGATTGCACATTAATTTTGATACATGCCTTACTTTCTGGATTTTCCACATAGATCTGTTTGCCATCTTCTACCTAACATCACCCATACCTACAATATCCAAAGGTTCTCCATCTGCTAGGTATACCTTCCATGATTTCTAGCCACATAATTTTCTAGAATTTCATGGTGTGCAGTGGTATGGAATGAAGCTCATGAATCTAAAACCCAAGAATCAATTGATAAAAGTAAAACATCTTCTACCTCTTTAGTTACGGCATTGGCGGTGTCGTTATTGTTGTTCTCCTATTTCTTTGGTGCTTTGCAATTCCTCTGTATGTGGCCTTTATTGCCACAATTCCAACACTCTATTTTTTTTTTCCCAAACCTGGACTTGCTTCTTTTGTTCCTTGATTTTGATCTTCCTGTGCCTCGGTTTGAATTTCTATCGTAGCACCTGCCTCTCGTTTCAACATCCAAAGCATTCGATGTTATCTCACCCGAATCTTTTATGCGAACCTCCTCAGCTAGAATTTTGTCTTTGACATCTGTGAGTTTTAATTTCGCAATACCTATTGAATTACTAATTGCTACTCTCATAGGCTCCCAACTATTTTGTAGGGAAGCCATAAGAATTAGGGCACGAACTTTTTCATCAAAATCAATTTTTACATATGACAGTTGATTAATAATTTTATTAAAATCATTCATATGCTCTGTCATGGAAGCACCTTCTCTCATCTTAGGATTAAATAATTTTTTCATAAGATGTACCTTGTTATTCGTAGAAGGCTTCTCATACATATCGGGCAAGATCTTCATCAACCCTATTGTGGTTGTCTTCTTCGCCACGTTACTTGCCACGTTCTTGGTCAATGTCAATCGAATGACTCCCAATACTTGTCTATCAAGGAGTGCCCAATCTTTATCTGAAATCTTTTCTGGTTTTTCTCCTAAGAGAGGTAGGGGTAATTTTTTGCCATACAGATGATCTTCAATCTACATCTTCCAGAATACGTAATCTGTTCCATCAAACTTGTTGATCCTAGGTACAAATTCTCCTTCTTCTCTAACCATCGCTTTCTTCCTCAAACCTCGCCCTGATACCGATTGTTGTTGGGATTTAATTGGATATTGGCAAATCCTAAATCTTTAAAAGCGAAAATAATGCGAACAAAGGACAAACAAATAACCACACACTCAAACACAAGATTTATAGTGGTTCACTCTCTGTATGAGAGCTATGTCCACTTTGCCGTTACAAAATTTCACTATGAAGAAGAAGAAGAAGAAGAAGAAGAAGAAGAAAGAAATTACAAGAATTTCTCACAAGCTTCACAAATCGGCTTACTCACTAAACCTTATTTGGTGACTCTCACTCTCTAAATGTGGCTTTGCCTTCTATTCAATTTGTAATGTCTAACTTTAGCACTTAACCCCTTTTTATAGATAATACATGAGACATTATTCCTAGTAGGACTCAAATCCCATATCCTAATAGGAATTATATTTTAATTCCTAATACAATTATAATCATATTCCTAATTGTATTCCTAAAAGAAAACAATTATACTTAAATACAAATTAGGAAAACCCATGTCCTAATCTAACTCTAATTTGGATTGAATNGTATCATCTCTCGATCTCAACCTAGTCCATTAGTTCATTCAATTCAAGGGCCGTTAAGAATCAAAAGCATTAGGTATAATAGTAAAACTTTATGAAGAATTCTTAATAAAAATTAACAAGCATAAATCAATACATAATCAAGAGATTGGGCTACATCTTAGCCCTAGAGAATAAATTTAGTTCATAATAAACATGAAAGAAACAATCATCTTTATTAAAACAATCATCATGAGTTTCTAAGAAAGGAACAAGAAAAACTTCTCTATATTGTGAATCAAAGCTCCAGAACTTCTGTTACTTTTCTTCTCTACAGGTTTTCCTTCTCTTATTCTCCCCCAAAGAATCTTCAAAATAATGCTAAAAGACTTCTATTTATATCCCACAAGGGTTAGGGTTTTATTTTCCTTAATTCTATTTGGTTTAGGACTCTTAACCCTATTTTCCTAAACAAAAACAGATGACAATTTCTTAACTGCTGTGACTGTGCCTTGGCACTGTGCTGCGGCATAGTAGCTACTGGAAAAAGTGTGCCACGGCACTGTGCTGCGACACAATATCTACTGGACAAAGTGTGTCGCGGCACTATGTTGCATCACAGTAATACTTTTCTTCTTCTTGCATCATTCCACTGTTCTTCAGAGATGGTATTTTTGAGCTCGATAACGATGAAATCTGGAGAAGTGGTAAACATATGAAATGTAGACCTTTGAATTATCTTTCCAATGATCAAAGAATCGTTTTAATCTGATTCTACATATTGAAATATTCTCAAAATACCGAGGTATGCTCAAGCTAGAGCGTAATCTAGAATCTTCTCTTTATTTCAAACTTCCATAACTTCTTCAATTCAACTCCGATTCTTGATCCGTTTGTTTCTACTCATCACTCATTCTGTTGCCGACATGATTCTTCATCTGAGCATAACATTTAAGCACTAGTAGCCTGAAAAACACTCGAAAACACTCGTGATCCCGTAAAAGACAATTATGAAAATATTAAGCAACTTTACCAAATTAAGCCTAATTTCCCACAATTAATCCTCATTAACCACTAAATAAATGTGTATTTTCAAGCTCTTATCACCAATAGCACTAGATTTAGAGTCCACAGCCACCAGTCAGCCACTTATTAGAAACCCACAAGACCAAACCAGCCCACATCACTCAACTGGCCCAACCAACCAAACTGGCCCAAACGACCAGACCAGCTAAGCCCACCAAACTAGCCCATACCAATAACCCAGATCCAATTACCAAACCAGCCCAATCCCTTTCTGGTTGATGGGTCAAAACCCTAACCCGACGGGTCAAAGCCCCTACTCGGTTTTCCAAATCCTTTTAGCCGCTACCAATCGATCGGAACTAGGGGATGCTATTTTCTTGTTGGTTTCCGACGGATCTGAGCTTGTGCTCATCAAACAACCCTTGACCGACTCTCATAATTATGCCACTTAGGCCAGAGACTTCTGGCGAGCTTTGAAAACAAAAAATAAGAAAGGGTTCATCGATGGAACCCTTCCCCAACCTACTGACTGCAACTNTGAGGGAATAATGGAGGTTAATCCATTAGAGCCTAATGAGAGATCTCTTAGAGTAGTAAGAGTACCCAAGCATGGAGGAATGGATCCAGAAAGCTTATTACCGCCCAAGTACAAATCAACTAGATTATTCAAACGACAAAGATCATCCGGGATGAAGCCTTCTAGATTATTTCTTTCGAGATACAAACCTAGGAGTTTTTGCAATCGGCCAAGTGTAATGGGAATCGATCCAGTCAATTCATTCATTCCTAGACGTAGGACTGTCAAATTGTTCAAGTTACCGATATCTTCAGCAATGCTGCCCCTGATATTGCAATTATCGACTGAAAATGATTCCAAATTGAGGGAAAGATTACCAATGGAATTTGGAAGGATTCCATCAAGGGGATTTCCCGTCAATTGTAAGATCCTCAACTGTTTGCAATTTGTCAACGAGGAAAGAAAGTTCAAATCTGGAGTAGAAGATCTCAAGTGATTTTCCGATAGACTCAACACCTCCAGGCTTCTTAACGAATCACCTATTGTGTCCGGAATAAAGCCTGAGAATGAATTGGTCCCCATGTCGAGAAAAGTGAGCTTGGAAGCGTTGGTGATGGAAGTTATTCTCCCACTAAAATCATTTATACCCAAGTAAAGTCTCTCAAGATTTGGAAGTCCTAGGCCTGTGCCTGATGGAAGATTCCCAGAAAGGTTACTGTCCGTAAGTGCAAGTTCTATCAATGTTGAGATGTTAAAGATAGTAGCAGGGACAAGGCCTCCTAAGTTATTAAACTGAACTCCCAGAATTTGTAGATTAGGAAGATTTCCGATCTCGTATGGTATTCCGCCTGCAAACATTTAAGTATGCGTTATTGTGTATTTGCAGAAGCATATCAAATATCAAGATTAACAATATATGAAATAAATCACTAATCACATAAAAGACACCATATTTAACGTTATTCGACATAAAGCTTACATCCACATATGAGTGAAAAAATATTAATATTCCAAATTAGCAACTGTATCCCAATACCTAGTAGTACTCTCCGAAGAATAGGCAATTCAATATGATACCTACCAACACCCCAAACCAATAATATTCTTACATGTTGACAAACTTTGTAATGCCCTCACATAATCTTCTCTTCCATGACCTAACGTCAACATTATGAGCTAATAGAGAGCTATAATTCTTTATGGGAAATATCTTCTTAATCCCAGTAGGAATTATATTCTTCGTCATAGTATAGATAAATTACTAATTTTCTGATAGGTTTTTATAAAGAAATACAAACTCAAACTCACAAGGAAACTAAAGGACAAGCCAAAATCCTCAACATGCATAATTATTTTATTATTTTTCCATACTAGTTAAATACAAAATTATTGATGACATTATTGCTCATTAATTTTTAACTATTGGATAGAGGTTACAAGGTGCATACCAGTCAAGTTGTTTCGGCCAAAAGATAGAAGAGTGGCAGACGTCAAGTTCCCAATATCTCTTGGAATTCTTCCTTCAAATTGATTAAGTGATAAAGAAATTCGCTGCAGCTCTCTGCATTTCCACAGATTTTGGGGTATTGAACCATTAAGCAGGTTACCAGACAAGAAAATACCTTGGAGAGCAGGGAGAGTTTCGCACATATTCTCAGGGAGGTTACCCGTCAGGTTATTATATGTAAAATCCATTATGGTTAGGGAGGAAAGGTTGAAAATAGGTGATGGAATGGGTCCTATTAGACGATTAAGTGATAGTAGCAATATCTCCAGGTTCGGGAGATTACCAAGCTCCTGTGGAATTTCTCCTGTAAATTATCAACAAATGTAACCAGATTTTGTCATTAATCAACAAATACGTGACGACTTCTAAGATTTTGAAAGTCTTTTTATTTCTTCGTGGGTGTTAACAATCGTTTAGCTGATTGACAGGAAGTTTCAGTATAAAATTTTTGTATCATGCTTGCCATGGTAACAGTAAAAAAGAAAAAGAAGGATCAGAATGTTATCATATAAGTTTTATTTAAGAGTGCGTTTGGTTCAAAGAATGTTACATTACTGAGAAATGTTGTATTATTGGAAAGATAGATTACTAGGAAATCTTTAGAGAAATGCGTTTAATGGGTTGGAATAAATTAGTGGGTATATTATAATAATATGTTTGGTTTGGAGGATAAATGAGTAAATATGTTATGTAGATTACTAAATTACCCTCATTTTTTAATAATAATATAATATTATTTTTTAAATTACTTCTTTGAACCCCCCTATATTTGAAATTTTACTAAAACACCCCAACCATATACAACTTTAATTTGTAGCAAAATCACCCCCACTCACCTCAAGCCACCGCCGGCAGCCAGCCACCACCATCGGAAGCCATCGTAATGGTGTACGACCAACCGAATATGGCTAGTCGTACGTCGATAAGGCCTAATCTAGCCAGATCTCGTTTCAAGGCAAAAAATCTGGCCTTTTTACGGCCAGATCTGGTTATTTCTAGCCATGGATCACAAATCCATGGTCGGAAACGTCCTTATCGGCACATGGCCAGTAAGATCCTGCCGATCTTGTACCGATATGACAACTTTCGCCGGCCGCCAACGGTGGTGGCTAGTGGCCGGGGGTGGTCTTGGGTGATTAGGGGTGTTTTGTTAACTTTTAAACTTTTTTGTGGCGAGGGTGTTTTAGCTAAATTCTCAAATGTAAAGGGTCTGAGTAATTGTTATTTGGTAGACATATGAGGGCAAATGTGTCCGAAATGATAAAAGATTAAGAGCAAAATAGGGTCAAAATTAAGATTACCTCAGTAATCTTATAATAACACCTTTTGGGAAGGTAATCTGATTATCCCTAATATTACCAACAGTAAATACTATTTGTAATAAAAGATTACGTAATATTTTATTACTTGACAACTAAACGAGAGAATCTTAAAAATTAAACAAAGATTATATGATTAATCTTATATGATCCCGAACTAAACACCATCTAAACAAAATAATCAATTACTCATGCTCATTAATATCCCTGTCAAAGGCTAGGAAAAAAAAAAAAAAACTTTGCTAGAGTGCATTTATGTTAGTGTTTTTAGATTTGGCCCTATCGTTTATTTTTCCTATATTTTATATTAGAGAGAATTACAATTTCCCACCCAAGGTTTGGCGTAAATAATTATCCCACCCAAAAGGTTTCAAAAAAACAATTTCCCACCCATCGTTAAAATTCAGACATTAGTTTAAACGGCAAAAGGGCATTCTCATCAGTTTTTAAAATTACNCGATTAGGAATTATCCACCTTAACAAACATTTAACTCTTCTCAATGTCTTGTTTGTTCCCGCCTTCCGTTTTAATCTTATATCTGTCTCTAAACTATGTCATGATAATGTATGTGTTTTAAATTTTTTTCCTAACAAATGTGGGTTTCAAGACTGTTTGACTGGGAAACTAATGGGCTCGGGTAAAGTTCATCATAGTCTATATTATTGGATAGGTGATTTTGATGCTAAAAATTCTACCTTGTATTACTGATAATAAAATTTCCCTTTGTAATACAAACATTAATAAAACTCCTTTTATTTTGCATCAACATTTGGGTCATAGTGCCTCTATTCCCCAACCCAAATGCCCTGTTTGCCCTATTGTAAAGTAGTCTCGCACTACATTTCCCAAACACACACCCGCCACCACACGCAATTTTTCTTTAGTTCATATGCACATATGGGGTTCATATCACACAACCAATCACTCTAGATTCTTTCTAACCATTGTTGATGGCTTTTCTCGGGGAACCTGGATTTACCTTATGCAATCTAAAACACAAACACTCACTCACATTAGAAATTTTTTGTCCATGGTCAAAACCCAATTCGAACTTTCAATTCAACGCATTTGAACTAATAATGCTTGGGATTTTTTTAATACTCACTGTTCCACCCTATTTTCTTCTCTTGGTATTATCCATGAAAGCTCCTATGTTTATACCCCTCAATAGAATGACATAGTTGAACGGAAACATAGACATCTCTTAGAGGTCGCTGGTGCCTTAAAACACCAAGTCAACACCCCCATCACCTTTTGGGGCGAATGTGTGGTCACGACTACCTACCTAATCAATCAGATGCTGAGTCGAGTCCTCTATGGTAAGACACCCTATGAGCTTCTCTTTGGAAAGCCACCTACAATTGATCATCTTCAAGTATTTAGGTGTTTATGTTATTTTACTAATCTGGGGGGCATGACAAATTTTCTCCTTAGGCCATTCAGTGTATATGTATGGGCTACCTAATGCAGCAGAAAGGCTATAGATTATATGATCCCGCTTCAGCAAAATTCTTGGTTTCTAGAGATGTGATTTTTCATAAAGACATATTTCCTTTTATAGACAGTTTCAACTCTGGCAGTAATCTTCAACAGTCTTCACCTTTTTTGGAAGATCCTTCAGTAGAATCTCAATCTGGGTCCTATTATACCTTGCATCCCCTTCATGATCAGGAACTCACCATGACAGACACAACATTAACTCCCACGTCTCCTAATTCTTCTTAAGAGACACAACCTTCCAGTCCATCTCCACCCTTGGACACACTTCCTGTAGTCCCTGTTCTCGCTCAAAGAAGATCCACCCAAGCCACTCATCCTCCTATTTGGACAGCCAATTATGTTTGTCCTACCCTTCAAACTACCACAGGTACTCCTTACTCCACTTCTAACTATGTCAGTTATGACAGACTTTACACTGCCTACATGATCTGTGTTAGTCAGATTTCTACCCAACAAGAGCTTTCATGCTATTCTGATGTTGTTTCCCATGCACATTGGCATCAAGCCATGGTCGATGAACCCAATGCTCTTTCTTAGAACCATACTTGGTATCTTGTCCCCTGTCCTCCCCACAGAAGACCTATTGGCTGCAAATGGGTTTACAAGATCAAGTATCGTGCTGATAGTTCAATAGAATAGTACAAAACTTGTCTCATTGCCAAAGGCTTCACTCAACAGGAAGGGTTTGACTACCAAGACACTTTTTCCCAAATGGCTAAGCATGTTACTGTTCAGACTTTCTTATCTGTTCTTACCTACACAATTAGACTCTTCATCAAATGGATGTTCATAATGCCTTCTTGCATAGGGATCTTAATGAAGAAATTTACATGGATCTACCTCCAGGACTACGCAGATAAAGGGAGAATCCGGTATGTCATCTACATAAGTCCTTGTATGGTTTGAAACAAGCATCCCGACAATGGAATGCAAAATTCACAAAGGTCATAACGAAGATGGGTTTTACTCATTCCAAGCATGACTACTCTTTCTTCACATGGCGAAAAGGTACTTCCTTCATTGCCCTCATTATCTATGTTGATAACATTTTAATTACTGGGAATAATGAGGATAACATCAATACCCTTAAAGAGCATCTCAATAGACATTTTCATATAAAAGAGTTGGGGGACGTATATCTTTGAGCCAAAGAAAATATGTTTTAGAACTTGTTTCTAACTTTGGTTTGTCAACATGCAAGCCTAGTGTGATTCTTGTGGAACAAAATACCAAACTCACGTCTCAACAATACGACCAAGAGTAAATGTGCAAAACCAAGTACCCGAATCGGTTTTGTCATTTTAATCGGGTACCCGAATATTCGGGTACTCCTAAAAGGGTACTCGAAAACCAAACCAGTTTTTAGGGTATCCAGATTTTCGGGTACCTGAATACTCAGATCAGTTTTCAGTTACCCGGTTTAAGGCCCAAATTTTAAATGGTTAATTAAAATTTTAAAGGGCATAATCGTAATCCTTCTCCAATCTTCTATTTCTTCTTCGTCTTATTCTCCTCCATTTGATCATTTCTCTTTCATCATTAAATTTTTCTAGCGACCCTTTTCTTTTTCTTCTTCTCCCTTTGCTTTTCTCATTCTTTTTCATCTTCTCAATTTCTTTTTCTCCTTTTCTTCTCTTTCACTACTTTTCTCTTTCTTTTTCATCGTCTTCTCTTCCAAATCTTAATAATATTTAGGACAAAGAAACATAATCTTGGCTCCGTTTGTTTTGTTATTCCTATCCATATTCCCAATCCTATTCTCAAAATACTTGTTTGTTTTATTATTTGAGAAATAGTATTCTATTTTCTTAATTACTTTTAAACCCCTTAAGTTCATTAATTTAATTAAACACCCCCTAGAAAAAAAAGTTCAAAAATTAACAAAAACACCCCCACCCAGCCATAGTTGCCAGATTCTGGCAATCACCGAATCTGTCACAATGGGGCAGAAACAATCGGAAATGGCCGGTAATTCACCGATCTGGCCTTTTCCGGTCAAATCCACACTGGATTTGGCCAGAAAATGCTAGATTTGGCCGTCAGCGATGACCATATCTTTGGTTGTTGCTAACGGCCAAATCTGGCCTTTTGCGGCTGTCGAAGGCCAGATCTGGCCTTTTCCAGCTAGATCCACCACTAATCTGGCCGAAAAATGGCGTTACGATGCAGACCAGTCAAGTGGTGGCCGGAATCTGACACTGTGGGTGGGTGGGGGTGTTTTTGTCATTTTACAAAAATTTTATATATTGGACTGTTTAGTTAAATTAGCAAACCTAAAGGGTTTTTTTGTGAATTTTTAAATTTTACCTGTAATAATCACCCTATTCAACTACCCAATATTATTCCCAAAATTCTATCCAAAATAACAAAACAAATGGACCCCTTAATATCCAGTAAGTAAACCCACATGCATGACACAACATCACTAATTGAACTCATCTCTTTTTAACTCAACTCAACTCAACATAACACAGAGTCACATTTACAATACACCAAAACCTTTACAAAGGTAGCGACAAGCCTATTAGAAACAACAATATGGATCTGCTACCCACACAAAAGAGCAAAGATAGAACCTATAGGAAGAATTGAAGAAGATGTGAACTGGAGTGGAGAGTTAGAGAGAAATTTGTGTTTTAGGGTGAAATTAATTTAGGGCTTTTGTTATGAGTCAAACAAAAAAGGAAAAAACTATTTTAATTTTTAATTTTTTTAATAAAACTGGGTTTCGGGTACCCAATTGTATTTTTAATAAGACCCGATACCCGAACGAAAATTCCAGTATCTGATGAATTACTACCTAAAACCGACCCAAATTTTCGGGTACCCAAAAAATTTGCTTCGGTTCAGTTAGCATGTTTGATTTAGGTAGCAGGTAATTTTGGATAGCCCTAACCAATAGATAGGTTCTTCAGAAGATGATCCTCCACTAAGCGACCCATCCCACTATCAGAGGCTTCTGGGAAGACTCATTTACCTCACCATGACAAGACCTGACATAAGTTACGCCGTTCACATATTGAGTCAATTCATGCATGGGCCAAAACAGTCTCATATGGATGCAACACTCAAGGTACTAAAATACTTAAAGGGATGTCTCGGCCTAGGAATCCCTTTACCACGAGATGGGAACTTTGACATCACAGCATATTGCGATTCAGATTGAGGCACTTGTCCTATGACTAGAAAGTCTCTCACAGGGTTTTATGTTAAAATTGGAGGATCCTATCATGGAAAACAAACAAAAAAAGTCAACAATATCACTATCCTCAATAGAAGTTGAATACAGGGCCATGGCAAAAACAACCTATGAGATTGTTTGGATCCTTGGGTTATTGAAAGATTTAGGAGTACAAACAGGAAAACCAATCACTTTGTACTGTGACAATAAAGCCGCCAATGATATCATAGCAGATCCAGTTTTCCACGAAAGAACTAAACATATAAAGATTGGCTGCCATTTTGTACAAGAGAAGATTTAGGAAGGGATTATCAAAACCAGGCACATACGAAACCTCAGAACAACTAGCAGACATTTTCACAAAGCCTTTATGCAGTCGTCAACATTCATATTTATTATACAAGCTTTGGGTTTTTGACATATATAAACTACCAGCTTGAGGGGGAGTGATGAAATATGGAAAGATGAAGATATTTATGTTGGAATCAAGTGATTACTGATATGGTACTTATTTGGTTAAATGTTGTAATATTCTGTAATTAAAACTTTATTGTATTATTGTATTTCCTTTACTGTACTCACAGCCGGTGTATAAATTGGTTATTGTACATGTTACAAATTTACAAGTAATACAATTATAGAATTCTATTCTCTCTATATTCTTGACATTCTTCAGCTCTTCTCTGCTACTTTTGCAAGTTCTCTTTCTATTGGCAATCTTCGGTAGTGTTCTGCCTCTCTTGCCTTCCTTCCAGTCCAAACTCTATTAGTTTGCTAGTGTTATAAACTTTTAGAAGATCATACGGCAGAAAACATACTTTCGAGATTAATAATATAGGAATAAAATCACACTACACAAAGAAACACGAATATTTAAGTGGTTCTGCATAACATGCATACATCCACAGATGAGAGAAATTCATTATAATTTCATGAACATGATATATAAGAGCACACAACACCATAAACCCGGTACATAATTAACAGAATAGAAATAATCCTAGTTTCTAAGCATGCTCAACCCAGTACCTATAGCGGAAATAATTCTAATTTCTAAGACACTCTACCAATGATGTTTAGTAACCCTTACATCAATTACCTTGTGTTATCACATTTTCTCATAATTTTGAATTAGTTCTCACCCCTATATTTATAAGTAGTATATGTGACATTCTACTTCTAATAAGATTCATATTTCAATTCTTGATAGTACTTTCATAATTATATTCATATTTACAATTATATTATTTATTAAATAGATTTTTTAAACACATACAATTTTACATAGGAACAAATAGGAATGCGAGCCACTATATCCAAAAATAAACATTGAAGAGAACTAGCAAATCAAATTTGCTCGCACCACAAGAAAATGAATATTTTCCGATGAGGCCATCTCCGATGCAGCAATAACTCGTCAGAGTATTGTCCATTTCACAGCGTCGCAACAGTGCTTTTCCGATATGTTTGTGCCAGAAAACATGACTATCCACAATGTCAAATTGTTCCTTGATTTGCTGATTTATATCTGATTTGTTGCCAACAAGCTTGGATTTCAATTTAGAATCAGGAAAGTAAAGCATAATTTATGACTATGATTATTATGAAAGATCCTCAGGCACGTGAAGTAAATTATTTATTTTATTAAACGTAGTTTTGCAAAGGTCAAATTGTTTATCATCGTCATGCTTAGTTCTACCGGAATGAAAATGGCTTAATAACAGCTCCAAGTATGACAATTCCTTTCTTCAAACGCTTACCGAATTCGTACATAGAGAATTCAATGTCCCCGGAATCCATATACGTAGTTGTAAAGGTACCAACTAGGATCTCTATCCATTGGTTTTTCGGCCTTTTATTCAAATATTCTTTGCGAACTTCAGATGTTTCATTTGGGAGGAAGAGTTTGAGGTTCACTGGATCTTCCCATCCATTTTGAGCTTCGTCCTTCATCATTAGGGTAAATGAAACTTGGTAAAGAGTGGCTGGAGTGAGGTTCATTGTGTTGAATTTCCCTTTTACTTCAAAACTCTGTGAATCCTGTAGTTCAGCCACATCAATTCGAGGAGAAGAGTCGAGTATTATAGAATGAAGAAACAAATTTCCTTTAGGGTATGAGAGTTCCCGTGCAAACAACATGAAGCAATTCTTATGGGACAACATATCAACCCAAAATTTCTGCAAGAATAATACAATAACCATGAAAATGTAATACAGTTCACCGCAGGAAAAACGATTTTTTTCGTCCAGCTTTCTTCTGACACAAAGATGGCGTCAGAATAAAGCACCTTTACCGACACAATACAACGACGAGAAATCTGATTTATTTTTTCAGTAAAAATTATAGTCGAGATACTCTTTTTAACCATGGAGATGATATAGATTACTACAGGAGAAACATGTTTTTTTTACCAGCATTCTCCCGACGCAAAGATGAGTTTTTTGCGGAAAACTGGGGCCGGGATAATCTTTTCTGCCGGTGAAACGTTAACGATTATAAAGCTTTTAAAATCTAGACAAGTCATATAGATTTGGGTTAAATTTTAAAAAAATTCGGAGATATTCTGATCTGAGAATTTTAAATGACGATATATATTTATAAGATATGACTTACCTTTTTCATTTGGTTTAAGAAAACTCCAGAGTAGAGCTGATCATATAGCTTGTCTATGGAGGAGGACTTGTCAACCTGTGAGTCTGCTTCTCCGAGAATGGATTCATAGTTGTGTGGGAGCTTCACTTTTGTTTGAGAAACATCATGCGCCATCTTCTAATCACTCTTTCCCTCTTGCTAATGTTGAAGATATTCATTAATTTCTACATCTTTATAGAAAAATATTTATTCGGTGATAAGGCATAAATTAGCTTATTGATTCCTTGATATGAACATGTCAGCTGGGTATTTGGGCATCTTGAATCACCTTTTCAAAAGGATAAAATTAATCAGATTCTCAGCCATGGCCACCACTTAGGAACATATATGCTATATATCATGCTGATTACGTCTTGTTTATGTTGCGTAAAGAATTAAATTTCCAATGCTATATTGCTTTGTGTCTGCATCTGCCAGGTTCTATAATTGATTGACATAATCTAGGAGCAGCCAAACAAAGAAGACTAAATGAGTTCTTCAAAAATAAGGAAGTTAACACCTTAATTATAATTGCATCGATCACAGGATACAATCCAAAACAATGATTCAGAAAGTTAATTGAAAAATACTTAGAAAAGAAAAAAGCCCTGCAACAGCTAAAAGCTGAGTGCCTAGCATGGCTTATTTTCTTGGAAATATCCCTTGCAAAAATGTTTCATCTTAATTTTAGTTTTGTTAATTTGTTGCTAACTCATATCTGAGGCTAATAATTAAGTGAAGGTGTGTTTATTTATACAGCCGAGTACTATAAAGTTAGAATTTATACAAAGTTAATTATACAAAATGATATGATATTGCTTATTGATTAATATATTATTCATCTTAAATTAATAATTTGACTTTCTACCCTTTTTTTTTTATATCCGATGGTGTTCGGACTAGCTTACACGCACCTCAACTAATCCCTTAAACCTTAGAATTATCAGTTATGTAAAAGTTCACTCTCTTGTTTATTTTATATCATATTAATTTCATATATAAAACTTTGTGTAGAAATTTTGTATGTATAATATTATATATTATCATAAGAGGATTGAACACATTTGACTTATTTAGAATTTTGAATTATACCTAAGTAAACTCATAAGTATTCTCAAATCTCACTATATCTAATGTACATATAGTTTCAATTAATATCCAATATTTGATCAAGTTCAACTCACATCAAATTTTATACATTTTATTTAGTTACACACAAAGGGCAAACTTTCTATTTCTTTCCATATGCTTTTCAAAATAACCAATATATTTGTTGACATTTCTAAAATTTGCTTGTCAAAATCAACTACAACCAATTGTAGTGTGACTCAATTTTTCTAAACTCATTATTCCTTTGGAAAAATACCATTTAAGCTTGGCTGTGTTATAAATTAACCTCAAAGAGATGAACTAGCAAAGCAAATGTGTTACTGTCGCAGTTTGATTCAAAGCATAAATTGTGACTTTATTGCTGCTTATTTTTATCACATATGTAACCCTCACATTATTATACGTATTTTCAGTCCTATTGTGAGAAGCTGATGCATGCAGCGTCCATTATTTATTATTTATCTAGAAATATAGTTCTGCAAATCAACCTCAAATAGCTTTATCATCCTCAAGCTTAATTAGTTGTTGCGGAATGGCAATGGCTGGATGAAGGCTGCAAAAATGGCGAGTCCTTTCTTCTTCCGCTTACCAAATTCATACATAGAAAACTCGATCTCCCCCGCATCGATAAACGTGGTAAACGTACCAACTAAAATCTCCATCCATTTATTTTCCGGCTTTCCCTTCAACTTCTCTTTGCGTTCTTCCTCTCTTCCATCCGGATGGACGAGTCTCAGGTTCACAGGATCTTCCCATCCATGAGCATTCTTTTCCATCCTTATTATAAATGAAACTTTGTAAAAAGTTTGAGGGGTGAGATTGCATGTGTTGAATCTCCCTTTCACCTCAAAACTTTCTGATTCTTGCAGAATAGCCTCCTCTATCCCGAATCTGTGTGATTCTTGTAGCTTAAAGTCCTCAAGCCCGGGACAGCCGGTTAAAATGGGCTGCAGAATCCAGTTTCCTTTAGGGTATGAGAGATTTTTTGCAAACAGCACAAAGAAGACCTTCTGGGTCAACTTGTCAACCCAAAACTTCTGCAAATAATAGTACAATTAATACTAACCATGAAGATGAAATAGCTAAGTGCATAATCATTTTCTTCTGCCATTGGTAATTTTTATTTTTTTCTTGTTAGAACAACACTTGATGATACAAATGCTTAAATCCGAGAAGTATAAATAATAAATATATCTCTGGTGCAGACATCTCAAAGACTAGCTAGCTAGTTGCTGCCTTCATAAATACAAGCAAAAACCGAAGCTAACTACCGATCACTAACCTAACAATACAAACTTCAAGACATTTATATAGATCTAAAAGTTTCTATATATTAGTCAATCTCTGGTGTAGGCTGATTGCTGCCTTCACAAACACAGGTAAAAATCAAAGCTAATTCTTAGTCGCTAACTTTAGGTAAAAAATTTCAAGACATCCGCATCTAAAAATTTTCATGTATCGGTCAATCTTTGATGCAAGTGTTTGGAAGTTTTTAACCTGTAGAGTAAAGGTCAGCAACTGGTCGGGAGCTTCACAAGTACAAAATTCAAAAAGAAAACAATTAATTGTTTAACTTTTGAAAGATGAGAGTCACCTTTTTCTTTTGGTTTAAGAAAATTCCAGAGTAGAGTTGTTCATACAGCCTGTCTGAAGAGGACTTGTCAATCTGTGAGTCTGCATCTTCAAGAATGGCTTCATAGTTTTTTGGAAGCAGCAATTTTGTTTGAGAAACCTGAGCTTCCTGAGCAGTTGCCATCTCTTCACCACTCTCTTCCTCCTATTAATGATGATGCTCAATTTCCATGTTTATAGTATGAAAGGGTGGCCAAATTAATTACTAGTTTATTATTGTTTTAGATCATAAAATAGATTTATTCTTTGATGAGACATAAATTAATTTATTCTTTGTATATGACAGAGTATTTGCATCTTGAATCTACCTTTGTAAAAGGGATAAATTATTCAGATTCTAAATCCCCACTAGAAAGCATATATTCAAAAGAACTAAATAACAAAAATTTAGTAAATTCTCATTCCAAAAACCTATAGAATAATTTTGGAACAATAATGCCACAGTTGATTTAGCGACATATAATGAAATAAATAAAATAATTTATCAAATCAACTGTTACCAAACCTAACTTTATGGTAAACCTAATCACGTACACCTAATAATCCTAGAGTTATGGGCTTACCTTAGGGGGTTTATAGTTATTAGCCCTTTAGTTTATTGATGACTTTATGAAGACGGCGGTGAAGGGTACAGACGTCGACGAAGCTGGCAAATACCACCGCCTAAGTCACGACTTGACGGCGGCGACAACGACTACGACGCTTCTAAGAACGACCTCTTCATCGACTCAATCAAACACTGGTAACCAGAATGACATCTAATTTTAGCTCAAAATACAGATTTCACGATGAAAGAGCTGCTCTTCAAAGAGAAGGTAAATTGAATAACTTCTGTTTTCTGTTGTGAACAGTATATCAAAATTTTGGAAATAGTTTTTTCTGTTTTCGTATTCATGTTTTCTCCCGTGATTCGTTCAATTCCTTTCCTAAGTTTGTTGATAATGAATGGAATTTGAATATTTACATACTAATTTAGCTTTTGTTCAATAGTTTGAATTATGTAAATCTGTTTTCTCTTGGCTTTGGTATGGATACATTTTGAATTATGATCTGTCCAAATCAGTTCATGTGCATCTTAATTAATCACAATTTCAGTGACTATCTATAATAGTAACCGAGACAGGATTCAAATTCAGTACACTTAAGTAATCCATTTATGTTTGTTTTCTTATTGCAGGCCTGTTGATGCGTGATTTTGACACCAACGAAACGCACGTGTGAAATATCGAGTTGGCCCCCAAAAGACACACGTGAATGGTTTGGAAAGATGAAAGTAAATGCAATGAGAAAGGAGTTTTAAAGTGGTTCGGATGCTGAGGAAGCAAATCCTATGTCCACTGATGTTTTCATTAATGATAAGGGTCAAGTGGCTTTAGACGACTAACTTTACACTGATAATACAAGGTATTGACGGCTGTCTTTTCTAGAGAGAGAAAAAGCTTTTTCTTTCTGCCAGATTTAAAATGCGCGAATCCCTTTGATGAGAGAGGAGCTCCCATTTTATAGTGGGATGCCTTAAGGTAATCATCATTGAATCTGCAAGTTAGTGGAATGATCCGTGCAAATCCTTTGTTTAGAGTAATTCACGTGATTTGCTACAGAGGTTAGACATGCGGGGTCATCACAACTCCTCGTTGGTCTGACGTGCACCTATTACTCTAATGGAAGCAAGCTGTGGGTGCCACCGTGATCACACAAAGCAGCTGCATCAGAAGGGTAATAGGCTCTTCCCGAGGCCTGACCTTGTGCACTTAATTGGATGCCACGTCAGCCCTAAGTTCTCAGACATAACAGAAGTTCCCTAGTTTTTAAGGTTTGAGAACCGAACCTTAGAAACTATTAGTCATGCCGCAATTGGATGATTCCTGGAGATTCTGGAAATTCTGGAAATCCCGACCTGCCTGAAAGTAGGTCGGGATGGAACTTTTTCGAGAACGACCTAGCATGTTCATTGTTTGTAGGGGTTGAATGACCTGGCTTCATCAGACGTCACTTGTTGTCCTTTTGCCATGGGTGCATTTAATGAAGCAGTCCCTATGCTGACAGACATGCCCTGTGCGTAATAAGTGCCAGCCAGTTGCATTAAATGCATTATACGCTGACACAGTACACCTTATCAGGATATTAAATGCACAGTACGTTGGAACGACACCCCTTATCAGAGCATTAAATGCGGATTTGAAACGCAATTAATGCTTTGAGGAAGAGAGAATGGCCGTCGTTTGGGCTTTTCAACAGAAGAGATGAAGGTCTGACTTTATCCAGTCATGACGTTCACTCTTTCCCGCTGATGCACGACACGTGGCTGTGATCAACGGTGAGAAACCTTTACTGCCCAAACGACGTTTCGATTCTGAGAAACCCAAGCGCCGATTCATACGCTATAAAAACCTCGAGTCGTTCTCAGGCAATGTCACTAGAACCTTTTTTCTTTGAGAGTAAAAGATTTGCGCAGACTTGGAATTTCTACCTTTCAAACCGGCGTTTTTAAGCATTCAGAGCAGAAGTTATTCTCACATTTGGCACGGTAAGAGCTTCTCCCTGTTTCTGTTTCGTTATTTTCCATGGTTAAGTGGCGTCTGTCTTCCGGTAGCCTATCGAAGATGAGATGCTTAGGTCTGGTTCGAGCCATGAATGGTGGCTCGAATCATGCCGTTAGGGTTTCTTTTGGGATTTTGGGAGTTTGTTTTCTCCCACATCATCGTACAAAATAGCGTACGATGGCTAAATGACCCTTCTGTTTGTCGCTTTTGCAGACCGACAAAATGGACCCCTCAACAATTGGACCCGAACAGGGAATCAGTTCACCCCCACAAGGTGCTCCAACCGTCCCTATCGAGGTCTTCTTGGTGTTCACCGGGGAAGAGCTCGAGAGGATAATAAAGCAATACGCTATCGAGGTCGATGCTTTCCTTGACGTGGCGCACTCATCGCAGTACCCGCTAAACAGTCTGGCCGCGGTCTCCGAGGATATCATCAAGGGTGGGGGACTGATCCCCTTCCACCCGTTTATCAAGTCGTTTTTGGACCACTTCGGGGTTGCACCGATGCAGTTGACCCCGAATGCGTACGTCATTGATGTTGCAATATATATCGTGTGCCAAGAGAACGGACTGGGCGAGCTGACCGCAATGGAGGTCGGCTGCTCTTATTATTTGAAAGAGAGTAAGGACAAGGATTCTTACTACTTGTCCAGGCGAACTACTATCGTCGATGAGATACACAGCTATCCGAGTAACGCGGGTGCCTACGAAACGAAGTTTTTCTTCTTTCGTTATGATGGCCATTGCTGCTTCTAGGATCCGAATAGGCCTTCTTTTTCTCTCTCTCTCTTTTTTTTTTTTTTTTTGAAATGTGTTTTTAATGACCTGGTTTCTTTCTGACAGTTAACAAGACGACTGACCTAGGGTTGCTCTTCGATAGAAGTAGGATCGTGCATTTCGGCTCCCTACCGAAAGATCAGCGTGACGCGAAGAAACTCGTGACGACCACAAGCTTGCGAAAATACAGTTTCTTCAATGCAACCGTGTCGCTAGAGGCCCCATTGAGTAAGTCTTGCTAACTAACCCCTTTGTGGTCGTGAATTGAGACATTTTGCTAACGATGTGTTTTGCATGCAGCGACCATGCCTCCGAAGGAGTCAAAGCAACTACAATGAAGGCATGTCACTTTTCCTCGGACAAAGAAAGCCAAAGCAGCCGAAGCTGCTTCGTCAGTTCATCTAGCTGAAGGCGCGACGTCGGGCCCAACGGCGCGACCTTCCGAGACTCTTTAGGTGCAACCGTCAAAGGACATGCCAACATGAAAAAAGAAGGCTTCCGAGCAGTCTCCTGCTCAACCGAGGCTGAAGACAACGGCTAAGCAAAAGAAAAGGAGACAAATTCAGGTCAAAGAATTAGAGACCGAATCTGAAGGTGACCAATTAAAGAGGTCACGACCGGACGCAAGTAAGTCGGGCAAGGCGCCTATGGACGACACGATGGCTACTGCGGCCGCAAAGAAGGGTACCCCAGTGTTAGACTAGCTGGGGAACCTGCCGGAGTACCTACAGCCGGTGGTATACGCCCTGCTGGAATGCAGACTATTGGAATCTTTCGAGCAGTTTGCAAGTTCCAGCGACGTGGACCTAATGTCCACATCGGTCCAACACTTGAGTAAGGTGAGCAAACTGTCTTCGGCGAGGACTTCCCTTAGCTTCATTTGATTTGCTAACTTTTTCTTTCTTTGTTCGCAGGCTCTTCTTTCCATGCGAATGTCCATGGAAAAGGTCCAACTGGGAGCCGCGAAGGGAGGCGTTGCTCTGAAGGAAGAGAACGCAATGCTCAAGTGAAACCTGGAAGCTGCCAAAACAGAGAGAAACCTGTCTTTTGAGTCGGCGAACAGGTATATGAACGAAAGAAACGCGACTCTTCGCATGGTGGATTTCTAGAAAGCGCAGCTTGAGAAGCAGGGAGAGGAAGTAAAAGGGCTACAAAGGACTATAGCTAGACTCTCCAAGGAGGCCAGGGAGAAGGATCAGGAGCTCAAAGCGACCTCTCTACAAGTCTCATGAACAAAGCAAGAGAGGACACCTCCGAAAAGGAAAGGCAAGCTCTTGAAGTTGAACTTAAAGAAAGTCAAGAAAGAGTTGCCTCCTTAACGCAAGAGATGCAGGATCAGGCGACGGAGGTCGAGGAGAAGGCTGCCGAATGGGCAATTTATTCTATTTATGCCCTTCGACTGAAGAATCCACTACTTGACATGTCTGACCTCCCGACAGACTGGCAAGAAACACTTATGTCCATGGCGCAGGAGGATGATGAAGCGACGGCCTCCCGACCAGAGAGTTCGGGACATGCCTCAGACAAACCTTCAGCCGACTAGCCCTAGGACAAGGAGGTCGGCCCCTATGGGGCGAATTAGGTCTTGTAATCATGTCTTGTTGCCTGCTGTACTCCACAGTAATGAAATACATTTTTGCCTTTACAATTTTCTGTTCTCTTTATTATACATGAGTGTTTCCTGATTGCTTACATTTACTTAAACAAGTGTGATGATATAATACATTCACACGAACAAGATTACATGCGAACAAAATGACTCTTTACAAGAAAATTATTTACAAAAATTACAAGTTAATTAATAAGGAAAACTGAGTTCGGAATTATTGATAGTATGGTCGAAGGTGTTCAGCATTCCAAGCTC